CTAAACATTGGTCCGTTGTTCTGATTCTTTGCGTGATTGTAGTAGTTTCCTGACCACCGATATTCCTGACTCAATGGACAGCAATGGCGCATGTGTGACTTACGATAAATCACGTAATGTCCAGTCCAATAATATATCCATCAATGCTGCTGCCTTGCACTCTGTCTCTCGCACTTCCCGCTACTCAGCAGTAGGTGTCAGGTGTTGCATTCAATGTTGTCGGAAAAAAGAGTTTCAAAAAAGTTATGGCAAGTCGGCGCTTAACGTCCGACATGCCATAACTATTTATTGAATTCATTGTCGCTAGCTGGCTAGCTGGGGTGGCAACAGGGGTGGCAACTGCCAACCCATACCACCCCAGTAGATCCGCCCCTGGTCTCAGGGTTGTGTTTAAAGCGCAGAGAGCATCGTGAAGACCAAGGAACACACCAGGCAGGTCCCAGATACTGTTGTGGAGACGTTTAAAGCCGGATTTGGATACAAAAGGATTTGCCAAGCTTTAAATATCTCAAGGAACACTGAGCAAGCGATCATATTGAAATGGGAGGAGTATTAGACCACTGCAAATCTCCCAAGACCTGGCCGTCCCTCTAAACTTTGATCTGGAACAAGGAGAAGACTGATCAGAGATGCAGCCAAGAGGCCCATGATCACTGTGGATGAACTGTAGAGATCTACAGCTGAGGTGGGAGAGTCTGTCCATAGGACAACAATCAGTGATGCACTGCACAAATCTGGCCTTTATGGAAGAGTGGCAAGAAGAAAGTGTTAAAGTCTACACTTTCCTCCACAGGAGAGTCAGTGCATCATCCAGCTGCGGCCTATAGCCGAGCTCGCTCAGAGCATTTCAGCTGGAATCACTCGGAGGAGATGTGCCTGGGTCTAACAACCTTCATCCGGATGCTCCTCCCCTCTACCTTCTGTCGGTTGCCTGAGTTAAACTAAGTCCCTCTGATCACACCTGTTAACGGTTGATCTCCTCTCATTCAAACTTGTTTCCTAAGTTTGCCTAGGTTAGGTTTTTGCATCTTGAGTTTCAAGTTGCAGGGAAGGTACTTATATACACTACTGTTTTTGCTAACCTATTGGTAAGTACTCCTTGTATCGGTTAGGTCATATGAACACCATGATTAATTACACCTATCAGAGAACTTTTCAAGTGAGACACACACAAGGAATGTCCACCACGTGACTGTAATCAACTAATTTAGTATCTGAAAACATACCACTATGTTGGTAGTGTAATTGTTAGATGCAGCCCTAATAGAAACCCTATATACACAAACATGCTCAAATACACACCCATAGGTTTAATATACATATCTCGAGTATACATATCTACATATCTCGAGTGGAGATATGTAGAGAAAGAAAGCTGTAATGCTCCACTTCTCCATGGCATTCAAACAACTCTGAATGCCACACTGCAGGACAGTACACATTAAAAGGAGAAAGCAGTATTCAAGCATGGAAGACTGAGTGAATGGAAAAGATGCACTTGTACTCTATTCAGAATTGTGTACTTTAAAATTGAACCTCCAAAAGAAAAAAAAGTCCCAGCTCCTGATATGTTTGAGGTTAATATATAACAAATGTTTGGAGTGGCTTGAAAAAAATAAAACTTCAGTCAAAGGTCAGAATTTAGACAGTCCTGTGAATTTTGTTCTCAAATGAAATGAATTATAGCTTAAATAAATTCTAGTCATAAGAATTCTCAAATATTTAAACTTCAAGTTTGAAACAGTCACCAAATTGGACTAGGAAGTCCAATTTGGGACAATGGGAAGTCATTGTGTATCCTTGAAATGGTTTACATTTCTGAGGAGACGGAACATTTCAATTAAACATTCATGTCTCGTCCTGCAGAGCTTGACCACATTAACCCAGCTCACACCATCAGTGCTGCCCTGTGCTACGCCACCCAGCTGGTCACCATTCTGTCCCACATCCTGGATGTCAACCTGCCCAAGAGGCTCTGCAACAGGTACCTCATTTTGTGGTTGCTCCAGCCTTGCATGTGCAGTTTAATACAATGGCTTGGGGGTGTACTGTATGGAGAGCCATTTCAGCCAAAATTAAATAAATAAATATGTAGATAAAGAAATAAGTAATTGGCTTCTTTATTCCTATTTATATTAATGTATTTATACATTTTTTTTATTTTATTCTGTCTTTTTTACGTTTCCTTATTTGTTTAGACTTTTTCCATTTTCCTTATTAATTTAGATAAAATAATAAATAAATGCATAAATAAATCAATATAAATAGGACTAAAGGGGATAATTACTTATTTATTTATGTATTTAATTTTGGCTGAAATGGCTCGCTGTAATATTGGTGATTAACTTGTTTCTTCAGCGAGTTCTGTGGAGAGAATCTCAATCGGCATCGCTTCACCAGATCTCTGAACAAGCTCAACACCAACATCCTCCACCTCTGCTTCTCTCAGGTCAGCCCAACACGCTGGAAATGTTATTTGAGAACCATAGGAGTTTTTCATATGCCCTCTTTGTTGGACTGTGCCTATCAATAAATACATCTTGTGTTCACCTGTACTGTGTACTTTTTGTTGCAGTTATTATTATTTATGCATATGTTTGTTACCATGGTTTGTTGGTTTAGTTTACTTTATTTAGGACCTACATTTAGCTGCAGCAGTGCTGACGCTGTTCTTGAAGTGATTCATACACCACTTCATTACATCACTAAAACTGGTTTTAGAAATGAAATAAACCAAAAAAAACCCAAAATAACCAACATTGAATAATACATGTTGTTTGTTTTCTCTTCTTTTTCCAGGGCCCCGTTCAGAAAGCAGGGATAACAAACCCTAAATAGAATGCAGACACATATTATTATAATACATTTATAATAATATATATAATAATGTTTTATTTGTAAGGTAGGCTCTTGTATCAGATACTCTAAAGCAGTGTTAGGGAATAATTAAAACTTTTTAAGATTTATGACCTCTTGATCATAGTGGGGGATGGACCCTGGTATTATACCAATCATAGCTAATCTTATGTGGCATTTCGCCGGTGGACATAAATACAGTATAGTAATATTCTATTCACAAAATAGACAATAATATGTTCATGTTACTTGTGAAAAGTTATGCCCCAATCCCTGATATCAATAGTTTGTTAATTTGAACAAAAATATCAGCTTCTTCTGCTGTCTTGGTTTAGCCAAGTAGGAGGGACGACTGCTCCAAGATGGCCGCCATATTTCCTGTGCCCGAACAGCCAACAGGGAATCTATTCCTTATTATGTCTATAGTGGCTATAATCCAGTACCTTGTCACTATCATTGTGTGAATGTGTGGTCCTCTGGACTTTAAGCGCTATGAACTACAGGCCATTTACCAACCCAGCCATCCATTATTGCTAACAGGCTTTAGTTTAATATTTGACTTATGTAAATATCTAAAATGCATAGCCAATTAATTTTTATAATGTTTGTTTTGTATTGGGTCAGTAATTGATTTCCATGTGTTAGCCAGTTTTAAGTTTCAAGTACTCCTCATAAATTGCTCAAGGATTGATGAGAATTTTCTAAGATATGTGGCAGCTCCAAGGGTTTGGAATTTAATGTTAGCACACATTAACCAGGCCTCATCATTGTCTATTTTTAAATCTGCTTTAAAACCCATCTTTTTTCATTGGCTTTTGACCCAGCATGGGAGGGTTAGGGTTTATTTGTCAAGTTGTGTTAACATCTTTTATGTGTTGGCCTTTATTATGTAAATGTTTTTATATAATGTCTTTTCAGCATCTTGGTCAATTTTGCTGTTTTAAAATTGCTTATAATAGCTTGTCTTGTCTAGGTTTGAGTCTAGTAAAATGTACATTTGAAAAATATGTAGAAAGGGAAGTGAGAAAAGGTGCATCATATTTCTAGGTCTTGTGACTGCAGCTTATAATTTTCTACAGCTGATTTTCTGACCTTTTGTGTTTAGCATGTCAACAGCGAAAAGCTTCATCCTCATCACACTCTCAGGAACATCATGTTTCTGGTTTCCCTTGACAACAATAACCTGGGCAGGTGAGTTCACTAACGTTGGCCTGTTAGTGTTTGCTTTAAAGGTTTCAAGTTTATCTTTGGGTTGTTTTTCTCAGGGTTGTGGCAGTGAAAGAGCGGGGGAGGGGGGGGGGTTGTGTTCAGAGCACCTGTCTGAAACAAAGCTAAAAAGGCCTTTTTCATCCACACTGTCTTTGTCTGAGATTTACATTTGTAGACTGTCCAATCAGACAACATGGTTAAGCGCCATGGTAAGGTCAGTAAAGTTTTAGGTTTTAAGGTCAGTAAAGTTTTAGGTTTTATGTGTTTTGCTGCAGGACTGGTTCATTCGAAGTGAGCTCTGACCTGGAAGAGTCTATAGAATTTGTTGAGCCAGAAGCATCGGGGTTGACTGAGGAAAGTGGAGATGAATCAGTGACAGATGAGGAGACGGACCTGGGAACAGACTGGGAGACAGTACCCAGTCCACGATTCTGTGACATTCCCTCTCAGGTTGGAACTCTTGTTTAACTGTGCTCTTTGAAGCCAGAGAAGAGCTGTCTGTTATGACTGATACTCCAGTTAACACAGAAATGTTAACTGGAGGTTTCAAAGGGCTACATAAGAGAGAGCGAGGGTTGTAGCCTGGATCGTTGGTTGAACACAACAGCAGACATTGTGACTGAACAATGTATGAGCTACATTGAACTGAAACTTAAATTGACAACTGAAACTTAAATTAATAAACTTTGGGAGGGTTCTATCATTATTTTTACTCCACTACTATTTCTTGGACACAAAAAACCCCTTAGCTTAAAACTGCAGAATGTAACTGTAATACATTTTTTTTTTACATATTTGTTGAAACTGTCATTATGTCATGATTGTATGGTAAAGATCATATGTTGATAAACTTCTCCCAGTGTTATCTAGAAACAACCAATCAGACCCAAGAGGAGGGGTCTTAGCGCTTTCAATCACAATCTCATGTGGCGCTGCTCATCACCAACTTCCCCTCCCATAACAGCTTCTTCATGTCATGAATGCTCAGACTAGTTACCATAGCTAGCAATGACAGTTCTCCTGTAAAGGTAGGATGTTTCACTGCTATTAGCAAGTTAAGCAGGATTGATTGACAGTACTAAGAAGCTCCTCCTGGCTGTGATTGGTTGCTTTTGGTTAAGAATGGTGCATTTCTTCAGATGGCAATAGTGGTTCATAAAGGAAGTGGAGAAGATTGATCTGTTTGACATCCCATTTTATCAAACACTTGTAGCTTTTAGTGTTTCTAGGTCCTCCTGTTTTTTGCTATCCCATTTTAACAAAAACTGGTAGCAACATAAACTGTCATCAGCTTTTTTACTGTTGTGCAAAAAGTCGAATTTTCCATTATGTCATTGGTAGAAATTGGTGGAGTTACAGGACATGAAAAATATCCTCATCTTGTGAACAAAAAGAAATGTTGAATTTCTGGACATATTTTAAACACCAGGAAGTGAAACGGAACACAGTCACTTGCAAAAATATTAGTTTCCCTTGAACTTTTCAATATTTTGTCACATTATAACCACAAACATAAATACACTTCAATGGAATTTAATGTGACAGACCAACACAAAGTGGCATACAATTGAGAAGTAGAAAGAAAATTATACATGATATAGGGTTTTCTCCCAGAAAACTTGCTAAGTCCAGTGGTCGGGACGTTGAGGCGATCCACCAGCGGCCTATAGTGTTTTTGTATTTAAAGATGTTAAGTTGATAGTAAATTTAAAAATATTACTGGGTAATAATATGTTACGGGAAGATATTGTCAGTGAAACGCTATATAAACCCACAATTATAGAGTCTTAAAAACAAACAAAAAAATAGAATTACAATAAATATCAAATATTTGCACTTCTGTTAAATCCAAATCAACTAAGCAACTGCTTAAGGCAGTTATACTTATACCTTCAGGGCTCCCGTAAATGCTAACATTTCAACACAGACCACATATGCAAATGCTTAGACATTAGCTTCCTTAATGAGCTCAATAACTTCTTTGGAAGATTTGAAGCCCTAAATAAAACCCCTGCAAGGAAAGCTATCCCTCACCCTGATGAACAGGCCCTCAGGCTCGAAACATCTGCTGTGTGTAAATCCCTGAGAAACGTTAACATCCGAAAAGCTGCAGGTCCTGACAACATTCCAGCAAGGCTGATCAAAGAGTGTGCAGACCGCTTTGGAAGATGGCGGTGGAGGTGGGAGCGTAGAAAGTTAGCTCATCAGAGTCGGGTAAAAATGCCCACAACTAAATTGGAACTCGATAGATAAAACTAAGGCATGAGTGGGCTAAGCAAGAAAAGAAGCCGGAAAAATTATAAAAAGCAAAACAGAACCGAAGAGCTGCTTGTAACGGAAGAAATCTTTGAACACGAAGCTAGCGAACACGGAAAAGTCCCAACGGAGAAAATGGAGGAACACGAGGACAGGGAAACGCTGCAAAATGGGCTCACAGCAATTAGAAGTGATATTAAAACCCTCAAAAAAGAGCTGTGCAAGGAGCTAGCCGCGTTCAAAGACGAACTGAAGAAAAAATGAAGGAAGAAATAACGAATCTTCGACAAGAAATGGACCGTAGACTGGTTGAGAATGACCGGGAGCTACAGGCACAGCAAGGGAGCATAAGCGAGGCATAGACAGGGATAGCGGAGGTGGAGGAGTGGAAGACGGATGCTAACGAGGTGCTAACGAAGATGGTGGAACAAACACAGCGAATGCAGGAAAAACTAACCGATCTCTAAGGGAGATCAAGGAGAAACAATATCCGAATCTTTGGTTTACCAGAAGATGTAGAAGGGAGATCCACAGTTACATTTCTGGAGCAACTTTTTAAAAAGGAACTCGAACTGCTGGAGGGGATCGATCTCCAGATTCAACGAGCTCACCGAGCCCTCAACCCAAAACCGAGCCCAAATGCAGCACCAAGGTCAGTCATAGTTAACTTCATACAATTCGAGACCAAAGAAATTATCTTGAAGAAAGCCTGGCAGAAAAAGGTCCAAGTGACGGGTAAACAAATCTACTTCGACCATGACTATCCGATCAAGATTGTCCAGAAATGAAAGGCGTATACGGGCATTAAAAAAATATTGAAGGAAAAGGAATACGTTTCCAAACACCACTCGCTAAAATCCGGATACACTGGGAGAACGGAATGAAGACATATGAGTGCCAGGACAGCAGCGCAAGACATGAAGGAAAGGGGCTACACTGTTGCTGACCCAGGAGGAGACGCCGAGGCAGCGGAGGAGAGACGGCGAGGAGCCGCGGGATGGCAGTGAGTGAAGGGGAAAGAACAGGAACGAGAAGCGACACGAGCGAGAGAAAAACTACGAAGTTTCCAATGGAAATCTTAAAATGTTTTGCTTTCAGAAGAAGTTGAAACTACGGGGAAAGAGGTATGGACACAGGAAAAAACCGATCACGTTATCAAACTTGGTATTTTACCATACCTTGTTGTGGACAAAGCGACTGACAGAAGAAGAAACTAGCAGAGAGAATACTTAAAATTATTCAGGCTTTTTTTAAATTATTTTATTTTATAAAATTTAGTTAAAACCGACTGAGTGAGGGTGAGAGACTGAAGTTGGACATGTCTAGATGGAGTGGTACCCCACAGCATGGGAGTAGTACTAGATCTAGGGAGGGGCCCTCAATAGAGGTGAGGATTTCCTCTCCACCTACCAACAGGGACCTGGGGAAGAGAGATACCCCATGTTAGAAAGTCCATCGGGACTTTGGTTTATGTTTGGTTAGCAAAAGTTCATGCTGGTTCTGTTTTGAGTTGCTTGGTAGCATATTTACAGGGACTGGCAAACCATAGTTATGGCTGATATCAAGATAATGTCGCTGAATGGGAATGGTTTGAATGTATTGAGTAAAAAAGAAAGGGTGATGACAAAACTGAAAAAGGAAAAAGCACAAATTATATTCCTACAAGAGACCCATTTACCCCAAACAGAACATGAAAAATTAAAAAAATATGGCTACAGGAATTTATACTACAGTTCATATGAAGAGGGACGTAGAAGAGGAGTTGCAATATTAATTTCAAACACAATACAATTTGATTACAAAAAGGAATTAAAAGATAAAGAAGGAAGATACATAATATTGAAAGGAAGAATAGAAAATGAATTTATAACCTTGGTAAACGTATATGCACCTCCAGAGAGTAACAAAAACTTCTTCAAGAACCTTTTTGATTTAATAGCAGTAGAAACAGAAGGAACTCTAATTTGTGGAGGTGATTTAAATGTAGTTCTGAACCATAATATGGACATGAGTCGCAAAAAAACTAAAATGCAGATATCAAAATTTATAGAAGTCTCATTAGAAGAAATGGGAATGATAGATATTTGGAGAAGCCTACATCCATTAGAAAAAGACTTTACACATTATTCGGCTGCTCATGGAGTTCATTCAAGAATAGATTATTTTTTAACTAAGGTGGATGACAAACACAGAGTGAAGGAAACCAGGATAGGGGGTGGCAGACGTTTCTGACCATAATCTAATTTATTTAAATATTTGTCTAAGTAACAGGAAACGAAATATGGTATGGAGACTGAACGTGGGAATATTGAATAGTGAACACCTGAGAGAAAAGATGAAAGCAGAAATAAAACAATATAATGAAGAAAATAATAACGGGACTGTAGACCCAACAATTTTATGGGATGCAATGAAGGCTGTCATCAGGGGAAAGCTCATAGCTGAAACTGCGCATGATAAAAGAATTAAATTACAAACATACAGGGCGAATACAGAGAGACTTAGGGAACTAGAACAGGAATATCAGAAAACAAAAGACCCAAAGGTATACCAAGAAACAAAGATGGTACGAAACAAAATAAACGATATATTGACAGGAGAGACTGAAAAAAGACTCACATTTTTGAGACAGAATTACTACGAAGCAGGTTCAAGAGCAGCTAAACTGTTAGCTAAACGGATACGCAAACAACAAACGCTTAATGCGATATATAAAATTAGAAACCCCTACACAGGTGAACTAACAGATAATCTAGAGGAAATAGAGGGCATTTTTCGAGAATACTATGAGAAACTGTATACACAGCCTGAATTTACACATGAGGAAGAAATGAGAACCTTTTTAAATGCATTAGATTTGCCAACAATTGGCAAACTACAAAATGAGACACTGACAACAGCAGCAATCACAATAGAGGAAGTAAAAGAGGCAATAAATACATTAAAAAATAATAAATCGCCAGGCAGTGATGGAGTGGTATAAGATCTTTAGAGAAGAGTTGGCACCAATACTTACAGCCTCTTTCAATTGGACTCTTAATAACAACAAAATACCTCCGTCATGG